ATTTCTCAATATCCAAAGCTAAAATGAGTCGACGGCACATCGTTTAGATGTTATACAACTGGGGTGTATCACCTACCATGGTACCACCATATCACTTTCTATTATAGTATTATAAGTCCAATTGTAAAAATTATTTCGTAATAATATACAGCTAAACAACATAACAGGACCGGTGTTGAATCTAGATGCCTCTTAAAATAACAATCACACGCATGACATAACACACAAATGCGTCTTGTAAGTCTGGCAGCGTAGCCGAAATTGCTAAACATAGTCACGTCTGTGGTGAAAGCATGGTGCTGTTACGAGTATGTTGCTTTACCGCTGCAGTTGGTCATTTTTCGTGTTGGTGAGTGCAAGTCTTACATCACTAGAACTTAGTGGTATGTTATAATTTGGTTACGTTTGTCAGAATTTTTGTGTACATACGAATTAATGATTTTTGACTTTTTGTACTAATTTCATAACCGCCAAAATCAGCAAAAAGAGTTACCTACTCTTGTACTAATTCATCAATATTTAGGCGTTCAGCTATCCAAGTCCAAAATGTCATATATCCGTGAAATGATTTGAAAATAAATTTTTAGTAATGGGTTCATTGCTGTTTTGGTAGCAACGTATGGCTAAAAATCGATAAGTCGCGGGTTCGATTCCCACCGAGTCCAAAATGTTTCTAAGTTTTTTATTTAAAAAAATTCTGAAATATATTTGACTTCGTCTGGAAAATTGGATATAAAACGGGTGGTATGAATATCGAAATTCTGTCCGGGCCCCGATCCACCGATAACAAAGCCGTGAAGTTTCAGTTTGTCTGTGGATTTCCGAATATCCAAAGCGAAAATTGGTCAACGGCGCATCTATATGCTGCGTAATTTTACGTACCATTAAGTGGCTACAAGTAATTTATCATTAAGAAAAATTGAGATACTGATTCCTTCAGCAGGCGTGTAACAAATTTCATTTTAATAAGAGATACTGATTTGACTTAGAAACCCCTTTTTAGGTTTTCATGAAAGCGAACGCGCAGGGATTTTTTAAGTCAAATTTCTTGAAGAGCTATTAAAAATTGGAAAACACGGAAGTACAAGCACGCCTAATTAGCATCTTGCACCACTAAGCATTAATTGCATAACGACGAATTGTGAAACACTGATACTAATTATTCAAAATCACGAAGCTTGTAATTATCTTCGCAATTAATAAGAAATTGCGCGAATCTCTCACGGTTCGTCTTAGTAAATATCAACGAAATACCGTGGCTAAAGATATTATCAATGATTTAGTGTCACACTAAGAATAATTAGACATATTCGTGATCTTACTTTGTTGCACGTATAATAGTACTACTTAAATAAAACACGTTAACGGTTTAAAACGCGATATATTTTAGTTAAACTGGTAAACGGGGTCCCCTCGTGACCATGGCTGCTCCAAAGCATCCGAAACGTCGGGCCGTAGTTAAAAATAATTCTCAAACAAATTTAACTAAAATATGTCGCGTTTTCAACCGTTAAAGTGTTTTATTTAAATGTGTACTACTCGCGTAAACTACAGACAGTATTTATTACTACGTATGTCACTATTTGGTGGACGATATTAGACAAGAGAATTGCTTAATTTTGTTTTTTAAGATTACTTTATTTTACAATCAAAACGGCAATGTTACCAAGAATTTAAAATTAAAATAGTTGTTTAAAATTACATTAAGGCTGTAGCGGCTGCTGAAGCGGACATTACAACGGATGGATGGAAAATAACTATATTAAAAAATATTATCTTTCAATATCCACACATGGTGCAGTTAAAATGTCTCTAGTTCCGACAAGCTTGTGTGGTGACTCGTGGGCGACTTGTCGTTGTCGATCCACCGAAAAAAAAAGGGGATCCCCACTTTTTCTTCGCTAAATACTAATTCTTATAATTAGTTATAACCATACCATACCGTATTTCCAAGGCAATTTTTCTTTTGAATCTGAATCCAAGAATACATAATTCCCAGACACAATCAATTCTTAATTTCCATCTACACAGATGAGAAGAAAATTGTAACATGCAACGTCGTTTACTAAGAACTTGAATTAGTCGGTCCACATGCGGAAAATGACACGACATACTAGTGATATGTGGTTTTCGGACATGCGAGGGAAAATACTCGTGATTAAAAGAGGTACAATATAGAAGAAGAAAAAGAAATAGGCTTAACTTAATCAAACCAAAGTTTGAGTTGCCATTTTGCACTACAAAGTTTTTTTTGAAAATACCATTTATTTTATTTAACTGTTTTTTTAGACTATGTCATTTTTCGTATGTTTTTTTCATATTGAATATTGTTTTGGTTTGTGATATTCTTTTGGATAAAAATATAGTCATAGTTGAGTTTTATAACAACTTAGATGTATAGTAAACGTAGATAACATAATAATTTAATATAAATATTCAGTTCCCGTCGACTTCAATATTTATATTAATTACTTTGGTATTTTTTTATGAATCATACGAGTCACGTCTCTGGTCAATAATTTCTCTTTCTAGAATATAATCGAAAATATTGTATTTATTAACCGCGTAATATGCATCTTCGCCTAATAGCTAATAAATTGAACCTCAACCAACAGCTATATTACTTGAACACGATTACATAAATCATCATTAATCAATATTTAATCCATTCTACTTTTTATCGAATATCGCCTCAAGACGTAATTAGACGTTTTACTTTCCCTCCTTGCTGGAAAAGCGGGAAAGTCAGTGACTTGTCTCTGTTCATGCTGAGAACTCGCGCGTTAAGTTATCACAGATTATAACAATCTGTCATTTGAGTAATAAGTGTATACTTCGTTTTATAAACTTTTTAGAACGCGTTGTAACCCCTTATATAATCTGTCTATTTTCATAACTGTAGTGTTAGTTAATAGGAGTGTTAAATTTGTTTGCGACCATATATTTTTAGATTTATTACTTTCGAATTGATTCATTGGTTTTAAATAAATTTTTAGTCATCTAAAGTTAATGTATGTAGTAGAAAGTAAATGAGTCTTGGCTTAAAGGTCTCGTTACCAGGCCATTAAATATATAAAAAAGCGAGGTAATTTCTGGATCAAGGGCCAGACCTATAATTTGAGAAAAAAAAGATTCCAATTTCAAAAAATATGTAATTTAAATATCAGGTTTTTGGCTTATCTGTGACCAGATTGTGTAACTTGCAAACAGCGTTTAAATTTGTGGTGACAAATGAGAGTACGTACTATAGATGTGCTTCGATCAAATTCTAATTTAGGCGTGAGTGACTGACAGGAGTGAACAGTGATCTAAGTCTGTGCTTCTAAATATAACCTGCATACCGTACTAACATTTAGAACTGGCTACGGATCGCGCGGTATATTTAAACTACAGCTGCCATTTTGAACTTACCGCGTTGGGCCACTTTCGTTTTTCTCTTAGGTGTGTTATGGAATGTTTACCTTCGTTCAAGACAACTAACAGAGTTCAGGAAGATAAATTGTTTCCTTTGTGTTGTTAGTTGTTACATCTGGTTTATGCCGCATGAGTTCAAAGCTTTCATTTAGAGATAAATAATTAATTCGATGTTAATCTTCTTAAAAATTATCTTTTTGCCTTTATTAACTAACTAACTGTCTTATTGTGTCTTATGTTTTCTGATAATAACACTGATTTTTCTTGTTTACGCGAACATTAAGTGCTAAAAAATGGTTTTTTTATAAAGTAATGTTTATAATATAATATCAGTATACCATTTTGCTTAAATGTTAAACTTAAAATTGAGGTAAAAATGAAAAATATTTTCAAACAAATTTTCTTTCCACTTGTGTAAAACACATTTAGTGTTTGATATTTACGCGTCATTAGAAGGCATCACACAGTATTTGCCCGCTGTACCACGTATAATAGGTGCTAAATCGCTCGTGAGAGGGCGTGCCCGTGGTGTAATTCACATTGACAGTGAAAGTTGCGCGCGCGCCGATATTGATTCCGCCGCATTATATACCAATTATCTCTGAAGAAAGTGTTTTCTGTGAACTATGGAAATGTCGTATTGTGTTGCACGTGTGGCGATGATTAATGTTTTCCCGCGATCCGAACCTTTTATTTATTTGTATCACTTGTACTATCTGTAGTTTACACGAGTCGTACACATTTAATAAAACAATGTTATTGAAATTATGCAGCCCGACGTTTCGGATGCTGAAAAAATACAATATATCTAATCGAAAAAATCTAAAAAAAAATACAATATATATATATATAAGTAATCTTTTCAATTTTTTTAGAAATTTTGGGCTGTAGTTAAGCCCCTAACGTTTCCTAAAGTTTAACTAATAGGTATTTGTTGAAAGCGTGATTTATAGGTATATACCGCGCTTTAAACCGTTACAGTGTTGTATTTATACATTTTGTTCAAAACTAGCTGGTTGTACAAGGTTGTAATTAGTGAAACAATAACTGTAGCGCACCGTAAAGTACGAACAAGTTTGAAAGCAATTAAAATTGTTCATAACTGTTATATTTCCGTTTTGATTATGGGCCTAATGTATCGAGTTCAGAAGGATGCTATATCCGACTGTTTATCTCTTTTTTATGATCTTTTGACTCGCATTTAATTATACTAACGTTTGTATATTACTAAATAACGGATAGGTAACCTTGATCTGCTAAAAAAGCTTCGTTAAGAGTAGTTTATTTTTTGTTTAATTATACATATATTAGAAGTAGTACAGCAACGTTAGATTTTAAGTTATGTCTCATAACGTAACTATACTCTCTTGACTCATAAAGCATTTTGTATATTTTTAATTGAAACCTTTCTATTTGATTGAGATTTGACAGAATATAAGTCTTATGCGAGTTAGTCGATTACCCAAAACCAAAATAGGCCGACAGCGCATCTTGTTCATGTTATATGGCTCGGGTATTTCACATCCCATCAAGTGAACTACTATGAAAAATAACAGTTGCCTTAACAACGATTCTCTCTGTTACAGACATCAGACAGTGCAGATTTTCTAGCAACCCGGCCGCACACAGCAGCAGTTATCCCAGGAAAACCGGCAGCCAACCCTCTGCAGTTCGTGAAAGTAGGGCCAGCTGACCTGGGCACCAGGGCCAGGGAACAGCTGCGACGTGCAGAACTAGCCAAGAGAACAGAACCGGCACGGATAGAAAGACAGGAGGATTGGCAGTCGGTAAGTTTGAAACTATAAAAGTCACTATTTAAATTCAAATTGCAATTAGCAAGCCAAATTACACCATAGCACATATAGAAGCGTATTCAAATAAAACACTTACCGCGACCCCCCACGGCTGCCTGCAAAGCATCCGAAATGTCGGGTCGTAAAAATCATTTTCAAATAAGTTTAACTAATATATATCGCTTTTGAAACCGTTAGTTTTATTTAAATGTGTACTCGTGTAAACTACAGACGGTATATAGAAGTGTATTTACGAAAATTCCTCGCTTTAGGAATATCAGTTGCTAGGGGGCTTTTTAGGAGAAAGTTATTTTCATTTAGAATAAAATTGTTATGTAATTAGCTAAAAAAGAATCCCTCGTTATATTTAATTTGAAAACTTTAATATTTTGAATGTAGGCACTATACATAAATATATAATTTAAAAATCAAAAATAAATTAAAAAAAAGTGTCTACTCGGGCAGGACTTGAACCAGCATGGTCAGCGTTACGTGCTGTTGCTTTACCAATTGAGCTGCCGAGTCCACGGTAGCACGATTTTTGAATCTTTTTATTACATGTTATTTAAAACTTCTCCGTTATAAAAAATCTTATATATTTATATTCCAGTTATGTGAAAAGCAAAGAATCCAGTTTTTAAATGAATGAAGGATACATAAATGTAGTCCTTGATAACGGCAATCAATGAAAATGCCACACTTCCGGGAAATTCCATACGAATCGTTATCACAACTTTCCGGGTATACGTAATTAAAAATCGTTTACCGAAATCCATCATTAAGTTGATACTTGGGAATCTTTAGTGAATTATCTGATTCACTTCCTCTACTGGCGATGTTTTAGTTATGACTATAGGAATTCTTTGTTTATTTGGTTTTCCCTGTCAGTAAGTAAGTAGGATATTAAGGGTCCCTTTTTTTATTTGTTACATCGTTAATTGAAAGATTTACCTCCAGATTTTTTCTTTAATAACGCCAAGTTCATTGCAATTAGATAAAAAGTTTTAATTATTAATTTATTATTATAAAGCTGAAAAAGTTTGTTTGTATATGTTCGATGAACGCGCTAACCAGTAACTATGTTCGAGTTGAAACATAATTTTTGTGTTGGTTAGAGCATTTATCGAAGAAGGAATAGGAGCCAAGAAATGGTGGGAAATGTGAAAAAAAAACGCGATAACGGTTCAAGATACACAAAAAGTTTGTGGGGAAATCTAAAAAAAAGATCCGCTTACATTTATAAAGATGAAAAGGAGGTTTGCAAAAACAAATTTGGATGCCCGAAATGGCTTTACTATTTTACGCGGACGAAGTCGCTGACTCAGCTAGTGAAATCATAATCCTCCAAGCCCAATAGGTGGACGTTGCATCTGCATTAGATGTTGTTAAGATATAACCCTCATAATTGTCTGTCTGTTGATTGTCTTTTGTCATAAAAAGTATGTGCGTTTGTAGTAAATAATACAATGTTATTACAAAAACAGCACTACATCCACGTTGCAACAGAATAATTGAATTCGTCATACAGCGAGACAGGTAAACAGGCAGGAATTCGCATACCTAATGAAAGAGTTCACACAAAAAGTTGGTGCGCGTCGAATGCAATCTATTTTTAAAGCATTCCGCACGAAGGCTGCAAAAACGATAACATACGATATGCGCAGCGGAAGTGGCCGGGCGGCGCCTACAAAGACCACGGTTTCCGTCGATCATCATGCCTCATTCCACTTTTCATATCGTTAAGATGTTTTCGATGCCTGAACTGATTTTATCTCGGCCCTAATTGTTGTATGATACTTTATTACTAGTGTTCTTTGCCTTATCAAGAGAATTCGTACATTTATTGTTATTTAAACACCTTCTACATTCAAAATAATACTTTAGGCCCTAGACACAATTGATTTATGTTACTTAAATTAACACTCCATAAGAAATTGAAAAAAATTACGACACGCGCAGGACTCGAACCGGCATCCACCGCGTTCCGTGGTGTTGCCCTAACCAATTGAGCTACCGTGTACGTGGTTTTACTTAATTTGGCGTCTCCATATTCATTATATTACGTTGCTATATTGCAATTTAGATAAAGTACGTATTAAAATTGTTTTTGATTCTTTTTAATTGTCTTCTATACTTGCAGCTCATTGATTATTATTTTGTCAATCCAGTCTTAATTATGCACCGCAGAAAAGTCTGAAGATAAAATTATTTAATTAAGGCTAACGGTGAAATTACCATAATATCCTCTCGAGATGAACTTATCGAAGTGAAAGAACATTAAATTTAACAGAGGCATTAACAAGTTAAATGATGATACTTAGCAAGGAAAGCTTGAGTCGTTAGAAAGCCTAGGTCAGAAACCTAAGTTTGGTGAAACTCGGCCCGAGTTTCTTTTTTCGTAGGTGTCGACCGAAAAAGTGATATCTTTCCCCCTTCTTGGGCATGGAGCAAATACATTTTAGTGTCCGATTCTCTGATCGATTTTATTTACTAGCAAGTAGTTGATCGGACTCCTGTGCCCTACCCTGCAGAACAATTTACCGTTTTCGCGTATCCTCTTGTGCTTACAATGCGTGTAATAAAGGTTTAATTTATTTGAGATTTTCGCTTCTCCTGTGTTTTACACGTGCAATTTACACACAAAGCGCCTAAGAGCGAAGAGATTAATCTCTTGTAAGAAACGCGAACTGTTCGCGGTTTTTCTACAGCCATTATCGAAAGCTATTACTGAGATTGGTGTAGTTAAGATGCCGCGAGCCATTACATAATCTCCACAGCTATGTGCAAATGTTTCCTGCATTTTATTTGCTTGCAAAAATACAGCGCTACGTAAGTTTTTCAAACTAAGTCAAAAGCCAAATCATTCTGTTAACTGCAGATAAAATGTAGACAATCAAAAAAGTTACTAGCTGTGTCACGCGACTTCGTACGCGTAGGATAATTATTTTGGATACTTTTGCAACCCCCCTGTACAACTCTTTAAATTTGAACTGTTACCCATTACGTCTTATAAGATAGACACATAATGACGCGTACTTTATTTTATATCATTTAAAGAAAAATCATTCTTTCATACATATTTCTTGGGTATCTTGAACCGTTTTCGCAGCGTACGCAATGGAAACCCACAAGGATGAATATTTTTTCCCCGTTTTTTCGACATTTTTTGCTGTTTCGCTTCTACTACTTACAGTGCTATGTTATAGCCTATGGCGTTGCTCAATAAATGCTTAAACTAACACAAAAATAAATTTTGAATTCGAAACAGTAGTTGTTGAGATTAGCGCGTTCAAACAAACACAAACTCTTCAGCTTTATATATTAGTATAGATATAAGTTGATATTAGTTTCAATTTGCATAAAATTTTATTTATAGAGCCTTTGAATGTATATTAAATAATATATTACTTGTTTATTTTTTCAGAACTTAGACAATTGGAAGTCATCACGGCGGAAGCGAGTGGAGCATATAATCGAACGGTGTGTGGAGGTGAAGCGGCTAGAACACGAGACAAACCAGCCTCGGGGCAAGTCTAAAACCTTCAACGAGATGCTGGAGGAACGGTGAGTAATCTTTAATGTCTTGCTTCCACTCTACCGACGGAGAATCAAGGTATCAGATATTGAAATTGCCTCAAATAATGTTGTGCCCCAAGTTTTAGAAGAACGTAGATTTCATTAAGAAGATCACTGTCTGGACAACCAGTCTTCTATTCTTATGAATAATATTATTGAAATATTTTCTTTTCCACATCATATATCAATACGCCCTAGATGTACGTGTATGCTTTGTAACATAATACATAGTAAAATCGAATGTCCTTAATTACTATTGCAATGTACGAGCCATATTAGATGGCGAATCAATCATTTGTGCAAGAGATATTACGTGGGAGTATGGCATTAACGTTTTAGAATGCAAACCTTGGTTTTCTTGCTTTTTGTCCCTCTCAATCGATTATACCAAACGCGTTACGAATTTTATTCGAAACGATCGGTCTCTATACAAGAAATATATCAGTGTGAGCTTCAAAGATAAATTTTATGACTCAGAAAATGTTGTTTTCCCCTTAAAATACTTTCTCATTAACAAGAGCAAGATAATTTAATTAACAATGTGCAACCGATGAACTCTCGAACTCAAATTTCTAAAGGAATTCAACTTTCATTCAAGTGTCAGCTGTTGGGTGTCGATTACGTCCGTCTCGCTCGGTGGCCACTCGCCGACTGATCGAGTTACCGGCGCAAGCGCACCCAGCTGTTACGTTTTGTTACTTTACCCACCAGATTTGTGCTCATGTGTCTACGTGTGTTGAGCTTGACGTACTACTAGGACTTTCTTTTTTAAATTTTCTTAGTAAAATCTCATTTAAAAGAATATTTTTGACTGCTGATAATAAAATTATTGAAAGAATCTCTTGGTCACAATGGCCTGGGTATATAATATACTCGTATCTTTCACACGGAAATTAACTATTTTAAGTACAAAAATATTGTAATTGAAATGCCATCTGGCGCCTAATAAGTGACGAAAATAACTAGTTTAACACAGGTTTTAATTATCCATAACCCGTTAACGTGTTCAAAGTTTGTTTACACCAGTTTTGTAAACTAAGGATGTTTGTTCGTTTATTCGACGAATGAAACAATTTTCCTTTATGGCTGTTGTATAATATCCGTTTGTGTTTTTTAACTTAATTACATATCGGTCATAAACTTGAAACACTAGTTTTGCTGTGGATGAAATGAAAAAAATATTTGAGACAATATAAACTACTACTGAACTATATGGATAGTATTACATAACACATTTATGTGTCCGTTTACTGATCGGTTTTTATTTAGTAGTAGTAGGTCAGACCGCTGCACCCTGCCCGACCGAAACAAGTAATTATTTCCCTGGGATTCGAACACAGGACCTTTCGCACTTTAACTATAGTGCTGGTCAACTATATAGGTAGTATTCTATTAAAAATCAGAGATGTTTATAGGGAGGATGATTTCTTCTAGGAGGTCCGTAAAACATCATCTTCATGTCCTTAATAAAAAAAAAAATGTTGGCTTGCGATTGCACAGAAATGCGTCCGTCAGTTTCCCACGCAGACACATAATCTGCTTTATGTAATACACAATGGGTTAAGTAATATCCATTGAAAAGCAAACAAAGGAACAAACGTGTAACCGAATATAGCTATTGTCAAACCGCATGTCTATCTGTCCCGATGTCCGAACCGCTCCGCTGCTCACTGACCACGGAAATAGGCGTCCAGATGTTAAACTTCAGGTTAACAATCAAAATAATGTGCTTGTGTTATAAACAAGAATATCTCGCATGACAAGCTTGCATGCTTGCATGACAACAGACAATACGAATTGACAAAATTTTATGTAAATAGGGATTAGCAAAATCTAAAATAAGATCAATCAAACTTCATGTTATATCTGCTTCATTAATCGAGCTACTGGGTTTTAATCCATCTTTTGAATTCTGTGATTCCGCAAAGTATACTACGTTTCAATAGTAAATATGTTACCCTAAAGTGCTATAACCAACACAAAGAGTATTTTTTCAATTTGAACCCGTAATTCCTTAATAGTTTAAGCGCGTTCAAACAATCAAATAATCTTTTCAACTTAATAAAATTAGTATAGATTACAGTTACATCTTAAAATTGCCCATTGTTGCAAACAAATTGGACGAAAGTGTGGAGTTTTTACTAGAGATGCGCCGAGTGACACTTTTGCCGAGTAACGAGTACTGAGTTTTACTCGGCTCAAATTTTAATCAAGCGAGTACGCGGCCGAGTAACTCGCCTCAATTAAATATCCATTCACGCGAGTAAATAAGTAGAAACAGGTTCGCGCTGGTCAAGTCGTCCGCTCGCCCTCATCTTCTCGTAGTTTTAACTCACTTTTGATTTTTATTAATTGAGATTTTCAAAGATTTCCTAAATTACTATTAAATACTTTTGGGCTAGAAACAACAGTGTTTTTTTTAATTATATCTACCTAAATATATAGCTTTTTTTAAACAACGCATACTCGTTATGAAATAACCGAGTTATTCGGCCGAGTACGAGTATCAAAAAACCCGCAGAGTACCGAGTATCAATCGCGTACTTGGCCCATCTCTAGTTTCTACACACTATTGGCAGTGCATCTCGCAACTGCCGCGAATATTAAGTTCTCTGTGATTAATACATCTGCGCTACATTCACGTGAGTATTATATTACTTACGCAATTACGGTAATGTTAGGTTTTGAAACGAGTGCGGTGTCAAGTGACTAAGTCCATGCAGCGCTCTGATTCTTCCATACTCCGTATATCCGTGCCTCGCGATGGTCAATTTCATGTAACTGTGATATCATTATATGTTATGTCATTTCCATGATCTAATATTATGTTGATTATATCATGTGTTTATAAATATAGTTGATATAAACGAACGAAGGTAATTTATTACTTTAATTAAAAGAAAGGTCAACAAAATATGAGGCGGTTAGAAGCAGAGTAGCCTACTTGCAATTTTATGACTTTATTTATTTATATTTTTAATCTAAAAATCTTAGCAGTGGCCGAAAATTGTTAACATAATTCTTACACAAATAATAAAACACATTCATTCTCGCCTAAGATAATTGCGTATTTATATTTTCCTCCTTATTAAAAATTTTGTTTTTTGTTATTAGGCCACTAGCAGCCTCGTATGTTTCTTTTCGTCATTAATAATCCCTTGTCCACATCGTAAGAAACATTTTTACGTCGTCTTTCGAAGTTACATACAAGCGTACTCTCATACTATCGCCTTGATAATCAGTATAAAAAGATGCCTTAAGTTTTATTTTCTCTAGGATAATGTCAACACAAGTTATAACAACTCTTGCCCGATGGCACCGTTCGATCTTTATATGTATCGTAAATGTTTACGACCGTAAAGGAATTTTATAAATGAACAATTAATTTTAATTCACTAGACGTTTAATGAGGCATTTTCCTGATAAGGAAATGCGCGACCTTCATGCATGACATCATTATATTTGAATATGTAGTCGTAAAAACAAAATCGTTAGTCGTATGTAAATTTTTACTTTCAGTTAGTCCTGTGATAATCGCTTCGGGATGTACTTATTAAATTAGTGAGTGTTTCGTTTAACAAATGTAAATGGTGCTATACAATTATGAGGTAAAGCTACATTTATTAATAATCCTCTTTGGAATCGTTAAATGTTGCCAATATTTTGGGGACAAGTGTCATCTACAAACAGGCCAGCGTGCTAAAGGACTACCTTCTAGGAGCCCGCCCCATCTATGATAGTGGGAACTATTGAATTTGCTTATGATGATAATAAAGAAGTACTGTATAATTTTGAATTCGTTGTTTCTTGTCATTTACAAATCTAACAAAAAGATAGGCATTAAAGCACTATGAAACTTAGTAAGTATCTTGATTTTGAAGTGTTGGTATTATTTTTTATTGAATTAAGGGCGTTTGATGTTTTATCACAATTACTTGCATGCATTACAAAGCCACATTAACGAAGTCTTAGTGGTCCTCAAATTCGAAATATACGTCTTTGAGATATTTTTAAGAGAAAAAGATAGCAATACCGAATTTTAAATTGCACCAAAAAATTGTAGTTTCTCGACGACATTAATGAGGAAAGCCCACCTTTTCGAGAAGATGCAGATCGTAAACGACCATTTCTAACGAAATATTTACGACTAAAATTTGAATAATGTGGTCTCGCCTTCTGGCGCCTCATGAACTCACGTAAACCGTAAACAAGTTCCGCCGAAACGAACTTGAACTCTAGTTGACAATGATTTAATAACATCAAACCTGATTTTGAATCTAGTTCTACATATTCTCAGTTACAAACAGTTTATGTTAGATAAAATTTTCGATAAGATGTAAACATTTTACCGAACTACAAGAAACCAAAAGATAGGGTAGATATATTATATTCTGCTTTAGCCTATAAGGTATTGAACTGTTTATTGAATGAGGTATCAAATAATAGCAGACAACATATAGATATGTGTATAATATGTTAGACGAAATTTAAATGTAAAAAAATGTGTTTGGTGTCAATATAAATATAAGACATCATCAGGTACATGATTGCAATATTAAAATTTAAGTAAGGCCCGTGTCGTAATTTGTTTATACAATCTAAAATCGAATTTTAATTCATCAACATTCACATATTTGATCATTTTATTTTGTTCCTAATATAAAACTTCAAAGCTATCTTGGTGAAGCATCTAAAGCCTAAAAACTTAGCTACTGGAGACCGCAATACTATGGTGTAATAAATCAAAAATGTTGATAGTTTTGCAACAGCGTAGTGCACTGCCAAGTGACATTTAACTTTAATAACTGTTATTGAATATTACGAATGTAATAACCTATTAAGCAATGTAGTATTAATTAATTGTTCTGTACTGAGATTTGGTTTTAAGGACGATTATAATAAACCATAGACAGAAATTAGGAAACATATGTATAGATACTATAATAAAAGCTGAAGTTTGTTTATTTGACCGCGCTAATCTCAGGAAG